TGTGTGTGTGTGTGTGTGTGTGTGTGTGTGTGTGTGTGTGTGTGTGTTAGGAGTTGAACAGGATGCGGTCTCGCAGTGTTTCCCGGCGATCAGCTCCTTCAAGCAACGTTTTGCAGAGAAGCCTTTCCAGGATCAGGAGTCGCAGCGCCCACCGAGAGCAGGACGGCAACAGCTGGGTGAGTCTGGCTGCTGCTTGGCCTCTGCAACAGATGTAACACAATGAGACGAGGAACTGCCTCCTGAGTCTTTGCTTCGTTTTAATGGTTGGCTATGAGCTATTTATTATAATCACTGTTTTCATTTGGGAATGTTTGTCACAAAGCTTTGTGGAAACAAGGAGGGAAGTGTGCGTGCGTGTGTGTGCGTGTGTGTGTGTGTGTGTTACAGACGTAGGTAGAAGGTAGAGGAATGCAGTTACTTGACTGACCGGTGACGGCTGAATGCTGTTGTGGTTCGGTGGTAAAGAGTCGGTGACTAATGTTGATGGCGCGGCCTACGAGACTCTCCTTCACCCATCACATAAAAGTGGCGGACAAAAATCCTCTTGGGCCTGTAATTCAGGATTGGACTAATCAAGTGGTTAATGAGTACATATTCTCAGTGCTCATTTATTAGAAGCCTGCCAGGTGGGAAGTGAAATGTCCTGTAATGTGTCCTGCAGCCAAACAGACACTTCATATCTGTGTGACTGTGTTGATCGGTAACACCTATTATTTCTAACTTTTAATCTTGTTGTTCGCATCTGATTTTCCACATATTTTGAAATGGATACGCTAACTTTTTTTGTCTGCGTATTTGCAACCACACACTTTCCATACACAGATCTGTATTCAAGCATGTACAGGGCTTATTGATATGCAGGGTTGGGCTCAGGTGGCTCTTTGTCATGGAGACTGTAATTGTCGGCCCAGGTGGAAGGCCTCCTCCTCCTCCTCTATGGAACCAGAAGTACAGTTTTTTGTGTCTCATAATTGTACACTGCATGATACAGAGCGTACTGCCACCATCTAGTGGTTGTGCTTGACTTAGTTGTCGCCGTTCCTGATGTCAGCAGTTACCCACTGCTGTTCTCAGTGTTTTTTGGTTTGAAATAAGCTGAACGACGATCATCTGGTGTGCTTTTAAAAGGCAGCTGCAGGCAAATGAATACACACTGTTCCAAAGACACGGTTCTATAATGATATTATACAATAAGATAAAATATATATTACAGTGCTGCATTAAACTACCACCTCCTCGCACTTAAAATGTGGGATTTCTCCTTTATTGAGCGTTCGTAGCCATGGTCTAGTTTGTGATGCCGATAACTCAGTTTACACGTTTACACACATACGAGTATGCGAGTACATTTAACAGTGTGTGACTTTGCTTATTTCCATTACAGGCATTTGTTATTCAAATAGCTGTCTCGTGTCACGGCTGAATTTCACCAGGACATTGTGTGTAGTGTAAAAACATGTTTTACACTATTTTATGAAAAGAAACCTCACACACAGAGCTGCAACTAAACATTTTTATAATGATTATTATTGCTTTTAATATCTGAATGCCAAAAATGAAACCAAACACCAACCCAACGAGTGAAGGTCCTAATAGTTGAATATTGGGGTCCAGCCCGACTGCATAGTAGACGAATAAACACCTCTGAGCAAAAGCCCAGAACACATGCTGTAGAAATCAGGTAGAGAATTTGGCTTCAGGATTTATAGAAATTACAAATAATGTTTGACAAAATTAGAGATTCACCGGTACTGATATTGAGTATCGGTCCAATACCGACTCAAATTGCTGGATCGAGTATCGGTGACAATAAGCCAATCTGGTATTGGCTGCCATTAGTTGAATAAATAGCAATCCAGTACATTTATGTGTGTTTATTTGTTACATTTCATTTTAAAGCAATGTTTAAGTCAAGTCTGATGTTGCCTTAAACAGATAAGAATGATCGGTACTCTGCATTGGCCAATACCCAAAGCCCAGGTGTCTGTCGGGACTGAAAAAGTTAAATCAGTGCCTACCTAGCCCAAATATATCAGTGTTGGCAGATTTTGCTACCGTGTATTTACTGGTGGACGACTCATCAGACAGATGAGATAATAGTTGTGCGGTGACATCATTGGTTTAAGTTCGGAGGCTCTGAGGCTGCAGAGCGGGGCAGAGCAGAGATGGGCACCGGGCTGAGAGCTGTGTTGTACATGTGGTCATGCTGCCTGACTCCACACTGCCTCTGGGTAAGTGACCGCACAACTCTCTCTCGTTACAGACATATACATATGTCCTCTTGTATAATACTGAATGGTAGGTACAGTTATCATATATATATCTATATATATCTATATATATATAGATATATATATATATATAGATATATATATACAGCATGCTGTGTGTACTTAAGCTGCTTCCTATTTCATCTCCTTTGTGTGGTAGCTGCTTGGGTTTCTAGTCGGGGCTGTGCACAGATTGATGATGTCAGCGGAAGAGGGGAAGTGATGAGAAGCCATGACTCACTTCATGGAGGTGATGTTTATGGTAACAGTTGATTTTGGATAAAGAGGCACATATTGTTATTATTTTCTTAATTGATTCTTAGCAAGTTCTTTTGGGATTTGTTCATTATTTGTTCATAAAATGATGGAAAATTTCCAATTTAACGTCTACAATTTCCTAGTTCTTCTTTCCCCAACCACTCAAAAGCTTTCTATGTATAATGATATTTTTTTTTAAATGAGAAAAGCAGAATATTTTCTAATTTGAGAAGCTGGAACCAGCAATTGTTTCACTTTTTTTACTAAAGAAATCATGTATTTAAAATGGTAAATAAATTTTTTCAGCAATCATTTTGAGCATTATTTCAATTATCACATTGAGAAGACGGAATATGAGTAAAATAGTAATATATTTTTTGGTACCACTCACTACAGGAAAGTAATGATACTGCTGTAACCTCCAGATGCTTCATGTGAGTCATTTAGTTTCTTCAGGCTGTGTCACCTCGTCCTTAATAGTACCCCAGAAGAGGCAGCCATTCCCAGGCTGAGGAGTCGGTGAGAGAGGTCAGCTTGTGTGTTGTTGGAAGCTGAGAACCTCACAGCTGACTTGCCTTTTAGCGCAGCGCTTCAGAGGAAAGTTAATCAGATTACCTGTAGGGGGCATACGTGGACAGGGATTCAGCTTGAATGAGTTGTCCCAGTCTGCTCTGAGGTTAACGCTCTGAAGTGTGTCTGGAGTCGCCCGCTGTGGCTTTATTCAGGTTACCAGTTTACCGGCACCACATCACAGAGATTAAGCTGGAAGTGTTTTCTAGTCTGTTCTGCTGTTTGCTTGAGTTGAACAAACATTCACTCGACTGTTGCGATTCCTGCTTTTTTGGCAAAACTGATTGATGAACGCACAAACTCCCTTCCCTGGTCGAGCCACACCTGTTGTTTCTCTGTTAACTCTCATGCATGCCCAATCAATCTATTAATAGTTGTCTCTTTTCATGCACTTGTGCTTGTTCATGTCTGATTGTATCACACTTTGTAATCCCCACATTCTCTGTAGCTTCCTCTTTTTGTTTGGAACGGAGATGCTGTGTCATAGCATCTCTCATCCTCCTCTATTTGTTTCCACTGCCTCTCTGTTGTGACTGTGACACTTCACTGTCTTGCCCTGCAACTGAATCAGGCTGGAGCGATAGAGCACCGCATAACATATATCACCCTCCTCTCTCCCTCCCGCTCTGTATCAGGGACCTCCCATTTTCTCTCTCTCTCTCGCTCCCTGATTCTGCTCCACACTCCCTCTCTCCACCCAGTTTCTCCTTGACGGTGAGTCCTATAGCGCTGAGAACAGAGAGCAGCACTGCTGACGCATTTTCTCCTACCTGCCCGTACCTGCAGAAAAAGGCGAGGAGAGAAACATTTCCTCCCTGTACCTCGTTTCTCCTCTGGATTTGACTTACTCACCACAGTGGTCTCTGCTGTTTTCCTCTGTTTTGGCACTGCGTGGATTGCCCTCTGCTTTTTCCTTATGGAATACGAATGACTACAGCAGCTTTCCTTTCGCCACCAGCTGTCCTGCACCATTTCCCCTCGCAGCCTTTCGCCGGAGGCTCGCACAGCGTCTTGCACCGTGGAGATGTAGTCTTGTTGGATGGATGGATTTTTTTTTTCAACTTTTAACCTGGGCCTTGTTTTGGGGTTGACGCATCATCGACAGCTCTTGGAGCGCTGTCGGTTCAGCTGTAATTGAGGCTGGGATTAGTACAGAGTGTCTCACATCTGGAGAATTGGCAGAGGTGTCACAGAGCGTTGTTAAAGAAACTAAGTATTATTAGCACAGTGGACCTGATTGTTGGGCCAAAACACAACCAGCATGTTGAGGATGTGTTTCTATTATTATTGTCTTTTCTGTACTGTTGGTAGATAGTGCAGCAGTTTTTTAGGCTGTCTCATAGAGTAGTGCCCTGCTTAACTAATAGTAAGTGCTGGCCTAACCTTTACGTGCCCACTGGGTTGTTTTGCCATCACATATCATAGCTAGCATATCTTGTGTGCATTGAAATAGGCATTAGAAAGCTTCACTATTCAGTTCAGGCCGGAAGGCTGGAGCCTTGACCGTGATGAGTTGAAACAGAGTCCCAACGTCTCCATTGGGACTGCACTGCAGAAAGTGAAACTGAGGAGTTGCTCGGTCCTGTAACGGTCAGGGACTGACTGTCGTTGTTCTTGCTGCAGTGCTGTAAGCATCAGACGCCATCCACATTCCCACATTGGACTGGCTGAGCCGTGTTGTTGTTCTCTCTGTCACCTTCCTCACTGCTGCAGTATTGACCCAGCAGAACACTCCTACGACACTGTCCCTGGACATAGCTAGATGCTAATGATTCTCTGTTGCTGCGATAATAACAGCAAGAGTCACGGTTCACAAACTCCATTCTGACACAGCAAGTCTTGACAGCAGTGGGTCGTGATGGAGTATCTGGGGGACAAGCTGTCAGTGGCCCAGTCTCAGATGTCAGGATGGGTGGGAAACGTCCGTCGGTCCCTTCACGGGGCACTAGGCTTTTTGTCCGTGGAGAGGGGCGGCCAGGGAGAGGACGGGATGGGGGACTTCAAGAGAACCAACTCCCTGCGCTCCCTGGCCTCTCGCAGCAGGGAGTCCATCCGCAGGTTCTCGCTACGCAGCCAGC